ATATATTACTACTATATATAAATGTGAAAGGGTGTACGAACACCGTTGTGAACAATTGTACTAAAAGTATTGTTAGTTGTACTATAGAACTTGGGCTCATCTTATTGGTGCATGAATTTTCTTGCCTTCTACTATAAACACGTGTATCACAGTACTGTTTGACTCAAAAAATATTGGAACCTTTTTGGACAAACAAATTAAAGAAAATAAAGGGGTGAATCTTAGTTAAATATAATAAATTCCAAATCAATGAGCTAATTCGAAAAGTAGTACATGAGATGAAAAGGAGGTAATCAATCTTATTGAAACTCTTCATTGTGGTTCCCATTAATCAATGGGGGAGGTTATTTTACATATTTTTCTGGAGATTGCTTCGTTCTTTTTTTTTTCTTATGAAGATTACATAAGGGAGAGTTAAGGAGAGAGGAAGAAGTCAAGAACCGTGCACTTAACCGAAGGTTTTCCCCTACTATATATAGTCATGGGACCTTTGCTATTCACTTGGTTTGATGCTCTCTTACATTATGTCTGTCCCGGTCGTCCTCTAAACGTCGTTTCTTCTGACTCGACGAGTATCGAGAATGCTGGATGTGGAATAGACCATGTCGTCTTTTGCTGCCTTGCCGCCTGGACAGGATGTTGGTCAGTTTGACCGCAATTGTTAGATTTTGACCAATACAGTTAGTCCCTCCGTCTGTCGGGGTCGTCCCCTGTCGGGCCAGGCAGGCGGATCATGGTTGCTATGAATTCGAGAGAAATCTGACTGCTTGTTCCTTGGTTATGCTTTTTAGGTTTCAAGTGAGATGATGACGCTCTTTCGATATCCTTGGACCATTGCGGCTGTTTCTGAACCGAAACGTCATTTGGTATTGAAGCATCGTTTTATGGTTGCCGCCATTATGACACACGTTCCTAGGGAACCGAAATGTTTCGTGCCTTATCAGATTCGATTGGCAACTCTTGGGTTTCGTGCTTGGGGGATTTATGTCTCTTATAAATAGAAGGAACTCATCATTTGATTGACACACTTTTTTGCCCTTTACATGAAAGAAGTTTGCGAATATACTTTCTTCCTGATACTCCGAATTTTCATTCGCCCCCAGTTGATTGAAAACTTTCATCTTTTTTTTTTCCATTGTCTTTTTGCCATACCATCTTGATAAAATGGCTGGTGATTTTTCTCGCACTAATTTCCCTGTCACAATTTCGGCGCAGGAAAATGTTGCTCTGACCACCGGAGGAGTAGAAGTGGTAGAAGATGAGGAGGTTCCGTCGGTAGCCGAGATTTTGCCTCGTCCTGGGAGAGAATGGACCGACTTCTGCTGTCGTACCGGGGTGGAGCAGAAACCTGTCCCCTCCGTTATAAAAGAAGAAGAGATTGCAAAGTTGAAAGCTAGGTAGGGAATCCCCAGTTGCATTGACATGCGGCCGGCGGTAGGGAACGACATAGTCCATTTTGGATGCCCCGGGTACTGCGTGTTCTACGCCTACCCCTTTTTTATTGGGTACACACTTCCTCCCCCTTTTCTGGTGGTAGATTTCTGCCGTTTTTATGAGGTATGCCCTGCCCAACTTTCGCCGTACCTGTACAAGATGTTCCTTATGTTGCTCAAGTTTGCGGAACTCGCCGATCGTGAGATCACTTTGGATCACATGCTATATATCTTCTCCCCTCAACTCATTCGCGACACGATGATTCACATGCTTCCTCGGGGATCGAAGAGTCTGGTGGTGAAGATGGATGATAGGGCTAACCGTCGTTTCTACGAGAATTATTTCTATGTGCGGACTGAGCACATTGTGGCGGATCCAATGGGGTTCCATGAGAAGTGGAACTTTGCGCGTAGGTTTCTTATGTTTTTAGTCGGTGAGATGCCCGACCACTTTCTGTTACAGTACTAAACCCTGTTATGTCTCTGCAGCCAAGAAATTTCCCCCTCCATCTGTCGAAGGTATCCGCGAGTGGGTGGGTGCCATCCTTCCCCATACGGTGGGGGTTCGCACATGGTCGATCTTTTATGAAAAATTTGGACGCAGGCCCCTTACAGGTGAGATGTCATTTCTGTTTGCTATTTTTGCTCTCCTTTTGCTTAGTTTCTTATGTGTTGTTTGTCGATGCCATGGAGAGTGCTGGAGAGCGAGGGCTCCTTCATTAGCTTTTCGTCAGTTGGCATTATCTGCTCGCCCTGCTGTAGCACCTACCGCTCGGCCTTCATCGAGGGCTGTTTTAGTTGAGTCTGCGGCTGTGGTTATTCTTGCAGAGGCCACTTCTCAAACTGAGGTCCCGACTCGTGTCGCTCATCTGATGGGTGAATCTCCCCGTGCTAAGGAAGAAGAAGGGCCATCCAAGAGGCGGCGAGTGGAATTCGAGACAACCCCTCCAACTGTAATACACCTGGACGACTCTCCCTTGATAGTATCTAGGGCAAGGATTGATACCGCTCCGCCCGTAGAAATGGAGCTAGCCATCGTATCTGCCCCATCGACGGAGATTCCTTCCACTGTCGTTGATCAGCAACCTGTCGTGATGAGGGGTCAGATTTCTGAGGCTGCTGTTGTGGTTTCGGACGTACCCTCGTCCTCCATACCTGGTCGTGCTTCCTCCTCAGCCGTTGAAAGAAGAAAAGGCGTTGTGGTCGACGACTATGAATCCGAGTCGGACCTCGAACCTGATGATATTAGGATATTTGAGGAGGGTATTACCCACTCGATGGTTCATGCAGGAGGCCCGACCCGTATTCTCGAGATCTCTTCGGATGTTAATCTCCTAGGGGACACGGAGGATTTGGTGTCGCAGTTCGACATTTTGTGCTCTGCTACCAAGGACGAGGCTCTCTGGAACGTTCCTGATAGCGCCTTGATGAATGAAGTGGCCGCTATGGGCCTGAGGGTACGTTACACTTTTCTTTTATGCTTTTCTCGTTTTTCTTGGTGATATGGCTTTAACCCATCTTCTCGTTTTTCAGATGTACATGGTGGAAGTGGAGAGTATGCGCAGGGCCGACATTCGGGCCAAGATTTTCTTGAAGATGTTGGAGAAGTATCGACGCTATCGCAACAAGTGTCGTGAGATGCACGAGCAACTGAGGGAGAATCCCGGTGCTCGATCCCTCGGCGAGGAATTGGAGAAGAGAGACCAGCAGTTGATCTTTCTCGCCAAATATATAAATGTGAAAGGGTGTATGAACACCGTTGTGAACAATTGTACTAAAAGTATTGTTAGTTGTACTATAGAACTTGGGCTCATCTTATTGGTGCATGAATTTTCTTGCCTTCTACTATAAACACGTGTATCACAATACTGTTTGACTCAAAAGATATTGGAACCTTTTTGGACAAATCAATTAAAGAAAATGAAGGGGTAAATCTTAGTTAAACATAATAAATTCCAGATCAATGAGCTAATTGGAAAAGTAGTACGTGAGATGAAAAGGAGGTAATCAATCTTATTGAAACTCTTCATTGTGATTCCCATTAATCAATGGGGAGGTTGTTTTACATGTTTTTCTGGAGATTGCTTCGTTTTTTTTTTCTCTTATGAAGATTACATAAGGGAGAATTAAGGAGAGAGGAAGAAGTCAAGAACCGTCCTCTTAACCGAAGGTTTTCCCCTACTATATATAGTCATGGGACCTTTGCTATTCACTTGATCCGATGCTTTCTTACATTATGTCTGTCTTGGTCGTCCTCTAAACGTCGTTTCCTCTGACTCGACGGGTATCGAGAGTGCTGGATGTAGAATAGACCATGTCGTCTTTCGCTGCCTTGCCGCCTGGACGGGATGTTGGTCAACTTGACCGCAACGGTCAGATTTTGACCAATACAATTACTGTTTTAGCAAACCAGCTGTACTCTTCATTTTCTCCCCCAAATGGACCGAGCTGTTTTTTTTTGTCCTGTCCCTTTGCTTCTCTCGAGTATTGGGCAAAATTTGGCATCCATACTTTGTTAATCTGTCTTGGCGTGTACCCTAATTGTGGGTTTCTTAGTGTGTGAGTTCGTGGAGAATGGCACGGAGTAAAACCTGCTTAGGAAACATGATACACCTCAATTCCATGGTTCAATGGATATCGAATTGCACTGGAAGTGGCCTCTGCTCTCGCCTTCCTTCACAATTTCAAGACAGATACGAAATTCTTCATCATTATCTAAAGCCCCAAAACATATTGCTTGTTTTGTCAGCAACATTAGTTATGTTGGCCTCTCGATCGTGATCTTGGTTTCCTCATGGTGACCGTGTAAGTATTTGATTCTATTTCTTTAGAGATTATTCAGTTAGAATTCATCCTGCCTCTGAAATTCCCTTGCGTTTGTATTTTATTTTTCTTTTTACCTCAGTGTTGATGATTTTGGATATTTGATTTATATATATCATATATATGTTATTTTTGCTTTCTTGGTCGATTCTGTATATGTATGTCTTTATTTGCTCAAATGCCTATATGAAAATTTTCTGCTAAGGTGCGCATGCAAACCGCTACTCGTTGAGCATACAAAATTTTCTCCTGAATCAAATATAGTATAGTACTTGATAAGAAAGGATTTTGAAAAACATCTGAGCATTGTGAGCTCTCCTTATCGTCTGTAGAACCAACATAGAGAGGTTGATTATTGCACAATCAAATTTTCATCTCAACGGTGCTGCATGGGATGAATTTTTATGTCATTTTATTTTATATCTTTTTGACTCTTTTGGTGTTCGTAGAGATTCAGATGCTAATATTGATTTTGTACAAACAGAAATTCCAAATAGAAGGTGATTTTCTGTGCAAAGAGATTAAATTGTTCAGATTATGGATTTACGTATATTCAATCTTTAAGAGTTGTTTAAAAATTACAGTTGGAAACTGCCTTGGAGAAACTATGATGTTTCCGTATTAAATGCTTCTCTCCGCTTTATTGTGACTAAAGGTGCTGATCTTACTTTAATATTTTTGTATCTGGAATTCCAAATATAAGTTACTTTGCACCGGCATATATATATATATATATATATATATATATATATATATAGTATTGGTGCAAATATTCACATTAAAATTTTACCCCCTCCGCCCCTCACAGCGTCACTCCTCCAAAATCACAAAAGCTGAAACAGTGACAGTGCTGCCTTCAAAATCTTCAACAATGGGCGAAGAATCAGAATCAGAATCTCCATCTCAACCCAACCCTAACACCACCACCTACCTAACCAATGTACCCCGCCAAACTCATTCACCCCCCTCCAAACTCCCTTCTCGGCCCAGAAAAATTCGCAAACTTTCCAACACTACAGATTCCCACAATAATTCCGTACCAAGAATCGTCCCTTGTTCACTTTCATCGAAAGGTGAACTAGAATCAGCCATTAACTACCTCAAATCCTCCGACCCATTACTTATCCCATTAATACAAACTTACCCACTTCCCATTCTTGAACTTTCTCAACCCCCTTTTCTTGCCTTGACAAAAAGCATTCTTTTTCAGCAATTAGCTTTGAAAGCTGGTTCCTCAATTTATTCTCGATTAATCTCTCTTTGTGGTGGTGAGTGTAATATAAGTCCAGATATTGTTTTAGGATTAACCCCACAACAGCTTCGTCAAATTGGGATATCTGCTAGAAAAGCAAGTTATTTACATGACCTAGCAAGGAAGTATCAAAATGGGATTTTGTCTGATAAGTCAATTGTGGAAATGGATGATAAGTCCCTTTTTGCTATGCTTACTATGGTCAATGGAGTGGGGCCTTGGTCAGTTCATATGTTTATGATATTTTCGTTGCATAGTCCGGATGTTTTGCCAATACATGATCTTGGTATTAGAAAGGGAGTTCAAATGTTATATGGGCTTGAGGATCTTCCTAGGCCTTCGCAAATGGATCAGTTGTGTGAGAAGTGGAAGCCTTATAGATCGGTTGCTTCTTGGTATATTTGGAGGTTTGTAGAGGCAAAGGGGGCGAATTCGAAAGCAACTATTGTGGCGAATTCTGATGTTAGTTTGCAGCTACAGCAGCAAATGTTGCCAATGCAGCAGCAACAGCAACATCAGCATTTCTTGGATCCTCTTAATGGGATTCTTAATGTTGGGTATGTTTCCTTTTGATTCTAGTTTGCCAGTAACTGTGCAGTAATTGTTTCCAAGAATGTTTCATTACCGTCAAATTAGTAGGAAATGATGGTTATCCGTGGGTGAAAGTTGATTGATTACTTTTGCTTAGCTGAGATGAATGTACCGTTAACCTATATGACAATGTGAGAGTGTTGATGCCCCGTGGGCACACTGTAACTTCGGGGAACCAAAATTTTGCTCAGGAACTTGATGATCAGTGAGTAAAATTTCTAGAATGGATGGAATTAAAGTTTTTAGGCAGTCTATATATATAAAACTTATCGAGATATCCATTGTATCAAACACATATTGAGATTTGAGGTAGCCTTATAGGGGGACAATTGATATGAGGGTTGGAGTGTGATCTTAAATATAATGATAGCATTGTGACCCTATAGTAGAAGCTCGGAACAGACTTGTGTCAAATTAAAGCACATAATGAGCAAGAGCATTAATGCATAATATCTTCTCTAAGGCCACAGTACCTCAATATTGAAGCTATTAAGTTTTCAAGCAGCATATACAAGTTTGTATGCGTTTCTTTGAGCTTCTAGTTCAGAAACTTTTACATGACATGGCTTGTAGATTCACCTGTCTTCTATGGATTGGAAGTCAAATGTGCTTAATAGAATCATCGGCTTAATTGCCGTCATGCAATGATTTTGAATCTTCTCTAGTGTTTAGCTGGTTTCTGCTTAGATGTTTAAGAATCTTCTTCCATGTTTTCCCTTCTCTTTTCAGGTAAAACTTGTCCTTCACAATATTGTAGTTACACAGTAGTTAGATTAATCTCAAGGTAGTTCTGCTTTGTTAGTCAAAAGCTTAAAAAAGAAAAGAAAAAGTAGGAAAAAAGTGATAACATCAATTTTGTTCCATCGAATCTGAGCGGATCTACGTGCTGTTTCCTTGGTTACTCGGTTAACAATTCAAAGCTAAAATCACATGTCGTATCTTGGTAGGATCTTAGTTATCATTCATATGTCTAAGGCTTTCATATGAAAGGAGGAATAAGAAAACTTCTAAGTTGCTCCTACACGACAGTTTAGGTGCCGCGCCCGTGTCGACACGACACTAGTATGGGTGTGGGTATGGGATCTGTACCGGATCTAGTCAAACAATTTTGGGTACTTTGACCACGACGGACGGAAAAATTAGATGCGAGATACAATTTGATTCCCGAAATCAAAATCAAAGCTAGAGTAAATTTGAAGAAAATAGCATACCTTATCTAGGAAATCAATCATTTACTTATCTTATTTACAACTTAAGAATAATAAAAAAATCCTCACTTTACAAGCTATATGTAAGTACTCCACAAAATTTCTCATAATTTAGAGATTTTATTTATTTATTTATTTTGTTTTTAGCCGGATTCCCCCACCCGTATATGTATTAGGATCCGTATCCCCAAATCTTAGAATTTACATCTTAAAAGATTTGACCTCTAGATACGCACCCGTGTCGGACACCCGCACCAGTGTCCGAGCAACATAACTTACGGCATTTTAATAAACCAAAAGAAGAGGGGATATTTTGTTCCTATTATGTAAGGAGAGGAGAACAAAAGGAAATTGAACTAAAAAGAATTTGGCGATGAGTTTCCTTGCATATAACTGCTAAGATCCATTGGCTTTGGCATTTAGGTTGATGTTTGGTGTTGCATTTTTCTTGGTTAACAAATCCAAGAGTAGCCTTATTGACTTGACCTTTGTCATTCATTTCTATCTACAATCTATGTGAATAAGAACCCACGCGATTCACATGTGATTTCCATTAGTAAAGAATGAGACTGTGACCTTAATCTGTTTGGGATCTTCCTCCAAACTAGTGCGGGACCAAGTTTATTCTTTAATAATAGTCATTTCAACTTTTCATCACCCTCCTGGAACCACAATAATGAGCTGTATAGACTTAACAGCCAAGATCTTTTGCCAATTTTCCGTTTTTCTTTTTCTTCCTTCCCGAAAACCTTCTCTGATTTAAGGCGCTAGTTCATAAAAATATATTACTTCGTCAGTGGAAAAAAAGGTGCTAATTGCTCTGATCCCTTTTAGTAGACAACTTTGCCATGAATTCTAGTGACTCCAATATTGCATCTCATTACTTATGAAATCATTTTAACTATGCTCTTGACTCAGCAAAATGTCTCAGAAAATTTTGCATATCATACCCCATGCTATTTGGTGGGGACTGTTGGACAGAAAGGAACAACAATAACTTTGGAATTCAACCTAGAATATCCTAGGAATAAGCACCCGGAATCTCTTTGGAATATCTTCCTCCGATAAGGTTGGATGAAGTACCAAAGAAGCCCTAAAAAGAGCAGCCCAGTGCACAAAGCATCCCCATTCACGTAGAGTCCGGGGAAGGGACGCACCCCAAGGGTGAGATATAGACAGCCTACCCTAATACAAGCATGCCTATCCTAAGTACCTAAGAAGCCTAATGCTCCCTTATTTAAATGAAAAAATATGTTGGTAATTATCAGCTGCAAATGCTAGGTAACACCGAGTAACTTAGCTGATGAGATATAAAGTTTTTGCACAGTTACTCCCATAGCACAAATTTACCAAATTACGCTAGTAGTCATTTGGCATGCTATCATGCCTTGTTAAATAGAGACTACTTATTAAACAAAAAAAGTTTCTCTTGCATCAAGTTCCTACTTTCTGTAGGAAACATCTTTTCTTGCCTTTATGAGTTTAAAGTTGTTGCTAATCTTGCCTTATATCACGTCTATCTTTGCCTTGCTATGTGTTTCTCATTTATGTATAGCCTGTGTTCTCTTGTTTATGCTGTTAAAATTACCCTTGAGTATTTCAGTGACTTCAGTGCGATGTGAAGAGTTCATTTTTTTAAGAAACATCAATGTATATGTAAAAAGTCACTAAAATTCTTACATAAACCAAGTTTTGAACCTACAAATGCAAGAGCGTAATGGATAAGTGGTGAGAACATAAATACTGAACCCATCAAATTATATCACGAATTTGCCTCTCACGTTGGTATTATCTAGGGTGAGATTAGTTGCCTCTCTCTCCAGTTTTCCCTTGGTACAGATTCATTCTAGCCTTTCAAGCTTCTTGTAGCTACAACAACATTATTTTCTTGTTTGCTAATCATGAAATGATCAAATACAGGGCATGTGCATGGGGACAGTAAGTGAAGGCAGAGAGTTGTCAGTTGGCTGTGTGAGTTTTTTGGGGTCGCAAATAGCTACAATTTTAGCCACAGGTTATCAAGCTGAGAACATTGTAAATTCACTTTGTAACTTCAGCAAGAACTTTTGTTGCGACTCATCTTTTTTTGACAGAGGAAGGACACTTTGGAACTGTCTTGGAACATATTATATCACCTCAGGAAAAGAAAAAGAAAAAGCAAGAGAAGAGTTAACCAGTTGGTACAAATCTCCCATGTTGGTTTTGAGAATTAAAGAGAATATTCTTGGTTTCAGCATTGCATAACAAAAGTAATTCTGATCTTATTAATTGGCTGATTTTTCCAGAGACAATACTGATATCTGGTAAAATGGAATAATAATTGGAAAACTGCAGGTACTGTCTTATGTAGAAGTAAATATAATAATGTTTGTTGTCAATTGGTTTAGAAGTCTCATTTGTAATCTTATGTACTAACCGTTTCATTAATTCCTAGTGCTAACTGGCTTAGAGAGAAGTGGATATTCGTTTTACTGAAGTTGACTTCTAGCCTGTTTAGCCAAGCTGGAGAAATCAGCTAATTTTGAGAAGTGCTTTTTTCAAAAGTGCTTTTGAAAAAAGTACTTTTGGAGAGAAGCAATTTGTGTTTGGCTAATCAGTCTGAAAAGCACTTTTGAGAAATAATTTGTGTTTGGCCAAGCTTTTTAGAAAGTGCTTTTAAGTGTCAAATTACGAATAAGGACATGAATAGATTTACTTAATAATTATTATTATAAGTAAATAAATAATATCAAAATTTTGTTATTACATGCAATAATTAAAAAAAATTCATTT